TGGCATAAAGTCAGAGAGTGACTGAAAAGTCAGAAGGATGCTTAAAAACCACTTGATTCTCAAAGTGCGGGTACCCGAGCAGCAGCTCTTCAGCGTCATCCAGAACTTGTTGAATATAAATTCTGGGTTCCACCTAAAGTACTAAGTTTTGAGAACATTCAGTGATAGGGTTCAGTACGCTGTGTTTTAGCAATCCTCCAGTTCATTCCTCATGCACATAACATTGAGAAACACCTGCAAGCATTGATTTCAGCCATTAGCGAGGGATATGAAGAAAAAAGAAAGTCTAAATGGATATAACATCAAGATGTGTGGTGTAGCTAGGCACTCTATTGATTCTAATCATAGGGCTGACAACAAACATTATTTTCCTGCCAGCCTATGCTCAGATGACTTAAAGCACTTAATGTATCCCACGTTGACACACTGCTTACCTCGTCACAGAGGAACAACGACAAGTGACTGTTGAAGATTCTGGAAAACTTTTGACTTAGAGAGAGTGGAAGCGAAGCTGAGAAGGGGCAAGGAGAGGCTTCAGGGGGAATACTTGTGAGTAACTTGCACTCGGGCAATGATCAGAGGTTGGGAGGTCTTGAATCAATAATGGGCTTGGGACGTAGCAATACAGAATTCACAAATCCAGGAAAGCTAAAAATCAGACATCAGAGAAGAAATGAGAGAGACTGAAGCTCCACCAGTAATGACGACGACAGAGGGCCAGATGAAAAGGACTCTACTTGATATTAGAACCTCCAAGTTGTGAGGCACAGCTAGACACAGTGATGCCCACACTCCAGATGCCAGCACTGCCTCTGTTAATGCAGCAGATCTGGTCCATCAAGCACACAAAGACCCTTAGTAATAGCAATAAAGCACCTGTTACCTTCTTATCAAGTGCATAACAGTTGTTCGTGTTGTTGTTGTGAATTCGAAAAAAATTTCTTAATCAGTGCAACAAAGTCTTAATATTTATTTTGTTACATTATGAAACAATTGATTTTCAAACTTAGCAGATGGCCAAAATGAACATTTTCAAAGGAGCTGGGAGTAAAGAAGGAAGGAAAAGTATGAGAGGTAAGTGAAAAGAACCCAGCCACTAAATGATAGAAATACACGAATTGTAGCCAGTTCTGCACCATGTTCTGTGATTGGAGTGAGTTGCTTTCCTTCTCTGTAAGCTTCTGTTCCTTATTCACTGCAGTACAGATTCTTACCTTCTCTACAAAACCCCAGTGTTAAATACAATAATCCGTTGAGAAAGCTATTTAAAATTGCAAATTCTAAGTACAGTAATTAATGAGATAAACTAGTCTGAACCGAACCTTGTCCTTATGCTTCCTTCCTGGCCCTTTTAGTCCTTTGAGTTTGAGAAAATTCAGTAACTCAAGCCAACATAGATATAAACATTCTTGAAATTATTATTATCTTACAGTTATTCATTTTGAGCATATCTAATTATCATTTCTTCAAATCTTTTGACTATCAACATCATCAATATTATCAAATAGAAAAAAAATATTCTGTCACCTTGGAGAATATATGAATTCGTGCTGAAACTAGCGGCTCTCAGTATTTTTTTTTCTTGTTCTTTACAGGTCCGTGTTCTTTCTTTTTACTGAAATGTACAAAAAAAGGATAGGCATTGGTATCTTTCTTATAGCACTATTCACCTTGGAAGAAGACACTGAGTTTTGGTTTTCTCACGTACAATATAAGTGAAGTGTTATCATAATAAAAGCTAATATTATGAGTGCCTGCTGTGGTCATGTATTTAAATGATTTAAAATTGACTACTTTTCAACTCATCAAGGTGGTTGAAATAGGCACTCTCCAAATAGCTTGTATGTGAATAGATCATCCAGGTTACTTTAGCTGAATTATTTTGTTTCCTCTTCACAGCTCCGTAAGTATTTCCTGCTTCACTTTTGAGAATAGTTTAAAATTAGAGATACTAAATGACTCACCCAGTTGTATGAGTCCAGAGCCTTTAGTCTTAACTATTACCCCATAGTGTGTAGAGAGAGAATTAATCTTGTCATGACTCTCGGATGTCAATTTGTCCATTACTTACTTTCTATCACACGATGCATGTTTCTCCTTGTACAGCATACATAATCCTAGTATTCAGTAGGCACTCAGGAAATGATATTGAATAAATGATTCAAATGCTTATAAGGCAGTCTCTGGTTCAAGGGGTATGACAAATTAAAAAAAGAAAAAATGTGTGATTCATTTCTATGATAGAGGAAAATTGTCTAGGACAAATCTTAAAAAGCCAAAAAACAAACAAAAAAACAACAAACAACTGTTTATGGGAGAAGGAAATCTTCCCATTCTTTTTATAATCCCTATCTTCGGAACATCTATCTAAATAACATAGACTCAGTATTAATTATTCAAGGTGAACAGAAATGACTTTTCCTCCATTGCAGTCAGGATAAACCTGAGTTTTGAGATATGAGTTAGAGTTAGCAAGACAGGAAAAGAGGTCCAAGAAGACACATGAAAGAATCGTTGCATTGGCAAATTCATGTAATAGTAAGTTTGGAGAGTGCCAGGAACAAAAGTAAAGAATGAGATTGTAGTTGGAGCGAGATATTACACGCATTGGTAAAGAATTTTAAACATACTCTGGAATAAAAATTTCAGAGGAGGAGTGATGAATCATGATTTGAATATCAGAAAGATCATTCTATGGCTGTGTAGAGACGGATGGAAGAGGACTAACGATTGATATGTGGAGTACATAAAGAAGGCTATTAAAATGGTTCAGGTGAGAGATGATGAAGCTCAGAATGAAGCTGCAGATCAGTATGAATGTAGAGAAAGGGCAAGGGTGAAATAATGAAAAAAAAAAATATTTTTAAAGAAAAGTCTCATCTCAGGCCCAGAGGTAGAGAAAAAGGAAAATGGTCCACCAACAGCAAGCATGTCCCCCAAGATGTTGATGAAGAGATGCCTTGGCGTGTATTCAAATTAATTTTGTAGCTTTCCTTATTACCTTATAATTGTTCCTATTCTTTCTTTGGCAGCATACGGCAACATGAATTTCAAGCACAAAATTCAAATCCAGATGTGTGAAGAAATATCACTAACTAGAGCTTCAGCAATATTAAACTCCTACTAAACATATTTAATTTAGAATTAATAAGGTGGTGGTATGGAAATTAAATCCCCCATGATTGTCAGGGAAGAGCACCTATTGAGGTATAAATATATGAAAGATAAATCTACTTGCAATGTAATTAATTCAAATCTGCAGAACCAATAAGTGTGTGACGACGTTCCTATTATTACATTACACTTGTGAGAAAGCTCAGGAATTTAATTAGCATTTACCCATACAACTAAAGAAAATGAGATATTAAGCATGCTATCTAATAACTAACATAGATTGCTTGTTAAATAAATAATTAAATGTATAAACACTTGAGACAACGCTGATATGTGGCCATAACTAGATACTCGTTACTCATGAATTGTTTTTTCTTTTATCTTTTTTTTTAAATAGTAGTAATTTCAAGAATTAAAATACACAGAGGCTTCCAGTGAAGTTTATAGGCTTGTCTGTATGACTTTTATTTATTTATTTATTTTTTTAAAGCTCAGTTAGGCCTTTTTCCTTACCTCTCCCTCCAAAGTTAGGCTAGAGTTTGAATTATGAAAATCACATTCATTATCCAAGCAAATTGTCACAATGCTCTGGTGTTACCTTAGGTGTTAATATCCCCATTTTACAGTTATGGCCGCAGGAATTTGACACATGTCACACAGCAAGGAAATGCTATATGCTTTATTATTGCATCATTGATGAATAGCCTTTCCCTACAAAGCAGCTGTAATGATCTTGATGTAAATCAAACACCACTCCTCTATTTAAAACTCCTCAAGGACCTTGTATATAATGAAGAGTAAGTGCTTTAATTTTTTTTTTTTTTTTTACATTTTTTTTTTTTTTTTTTTGAGACAGAGTCTCACTTTGTTGCCCAGGCTAGAGTGAGTGCGTGGCATTAGCCTGGTCACAGCAACCTCAATCTCCAGGGCTCAGCGGATCCTACTGCCTCAGCCTCCCGAGTAGCTGGGACTACAGGCATGTGCCACCATCCCGGCTAATTTTTTGTATATATATTTTAGTTGTCAATTAATTTATTTCTATTTTTGGTAGAGACGGTCGGTCTCACTGCAGGCTTCAGGCTGGTTTCGAACTCCTGACCTTGAGCAATCCGCCCGCCTCGGCCTCCCAAAGTGCTAGGATTACAGGCGTGAGCCACCACGCCCGGCAGTGCTTTAATTTTTAAGGCTCTATGTGATGGACATTCCCTTCAACCTCAGATCTGTCACGTGTCTGACCTTGACTACTACAACTCCTCTTTTTTTGATTTACTCCTGATTTTGCTGTTCCTGGACCATTCTAGGTAAGCTCCAGAATCAGGGCATTTGTACATGCTGGTTTTTCTCATTCCCTCAGTTAACGTATCAGTGAGGGCTT